GCTGGCCGCAGAGGTCCCCGTGGGGTCCAGGCCACCCTCAGTGCCACCCCCAGGCACCCCTGCCCTCGGCACACCCACCCGCTTTGGCTCTTCACTGGGTTTTTACCTCACTCTCCACTTCCTCTCCTCATGCAGTTATTCCTGTGGACCTTGCCCCTCCCTCTCTCCACCCAAACCACCCCCCACTCGTTGCTTTCTCCTCACCAGTCACAGTTTGGTTACATCTGTACCCAGACCTGCCTGGCCAGTCTCAGCCCCACCACCACTGCTGGGTTGTCCCTTCAGCACAGGGCCCTTGGCTGTCAGTCATAGTTCCACCCTGTGGGTGCCCCCGGGGCGTGGGGCTCCCCTGGAGAGGTTCTGCCTGCCTGCCACGGCCTCTGAGAACCAGGGACTGCTTTAGCTGGGAAGAGATGTTTCCAGTCATGGAACCCAACTCTTGGGACCCCCTCCAGGGCTGGGGACCCCACCCCTGCCCTGGGCAGCCCGTGTGGAGCCCCCTCAGCCCTGGCTCTGCCCACACAGCCCCGGGTGCCCCCTGGCAGCAGCAGCAGCAGGTTCCTCACAGTGGGTCCAAGTGCTCCCCCCACGCCCTCACCCTTCAGCTGCCACACCCCGCTGCCTCCAGAGCCAGAGATGGGGCTGGGTGCCCCTGCAGCACCCCTGGCACAGGTGCTGCTGCTGCCCTGGGCTGTGCCACCATGCCCTGGCACCTGCCCTGACCTGGGTCTCTCCTGCTGCAGGAGAAGTTCTGTGAGTTCCACAGCAGCATCCGATCCCCACCCAAGCAGATGGTTTGGTGAGTGGGGTTCAGGGCTGGAGCTGGCTGGGGGTGTCCTGGGGCTGGCTTGAGGGTCTCAGGGCTGGTCAGGGGTCTTGGGGTAGCTGGGAGTGACCCAGATACTCTCCAGGAAGTCCCAGGGTTGGTGATGGGTCTTGGTGTTGGCTTCTGGGCCTACTTAGAGGGTCTTAAGGCTGGTCATGGGCCTTGGGGCTGGTTGGGGGGGTCCTGGGTCTGGCTAGGTGGTCCTGAGGGCTGTTGAGGTGTCTTGGGGTTTGTCACGGGCTCTGAGGGTGGCTGGAGGGTGCCAGGCCCAGCCATGGGCCTTAGGGCTAACTGGGAGCATCCCAGAACAAGCTGGGGAGGTCCAGGGAGTGGTCATGGGCCTCGGGGCTGGTCGGGGGGCTCCTGGGGCT